AGGTTGAGAAATAACAAAAAAAAATTATGGGAAAATTAAAACCCATTTTGTCCCTATTCTCAAGAATCACTGATGAAGTTATGATGCTGTTGGTAGTATGAATCTGCCCAAGACGGAGTAAACTTTGTGATTTCACATCAGTTGATGGCGTTTTCTTTTGTTGGTTTCAGTGATTGAAAATGTTCCTGAAAGACTCAGCTGACCAGGCCGACTTTTGTGACCTACTAGCTTCAATCCTTCCACCATTTGTTAGGATTTGTTGAAGACGGTGATAAAACATTTTCCTACTACAGGTAAGAGAAACTTCACCTGTTATATATTTACACAACTTCATTTCTAAAGCTTAACAAACTAACTCTTTAAGCAGAATTATATGACTTAAACACTCAGTAGAAATAGTTTTATGCTCTTTATTGTTGAATTTTATAGGTATATATAGTCATTATGGAGTAATATAACATAATAATATAACAAGTTGATTAAATGCTCATTAACTGTTGGAATATTATGACAGAAGGTTTTAGCTGAGGTTTACATAAACCTTTCTTCCTTCCTGTCTGAAGTTAAATCAGATCAAAATTGTATTGTTTCAGATCAGAATCACAAAAATATTTCTACTTGGTAAATGCCCCAATAATGAGTAAAATAATCTGTCAGAGATTTAGTTATTATTGCCTTTAAGATCAGAAATTTACATACATTTCAGTATTTAGCGTTGCCTTTGAACTGGCTGACTTGGGTCAAAGTTTGGGTCAAACTTGTTACTGTTCAGAAGTTTTTCCCAATACTTTGCAAGATTTTATAACTGAGGCTCAATAAATCTAATTGTAGTTGGGTTTGTGTATTTTAGGGCATGTAAATGTTTCTACATGCCTAAACCAATATTGATTTTAAAATGTTGTATGTTATGGAAAAATGACTAAATCAATATTTTTTGAAGAATATTTCTGTATTTTATATTATATTTTAAAGAAAGTAGCTTGCATTAAAACAATAATCAAATAATTCCAATGATCAGGTTTTCTGTAAGGAATAAACTACAGAGTTAAGTAAGATTTAAAGCACAGATGCATTCAAAGAGTCAATTTCACCACCTGCTTTTATTAAACAAAGTGTGAGAAGAAACTGCAGTTTAACTGTTTCACAAAATGCAAATATAACTTAGAAATTGCATCAAGAAGCAGTTTAATGCTGTTTAAAAGCATCTAAACCAGAGAATGAACAATAAAAAATGGAATGTGGTCAGTTGATAGTTGAAATGCATGACGTTCATGGTACATGTAGTGTGTTCTAGATCACGGTCCAGTAGTCAAAAGGTAGCAGGTATGAACAAAACATAAGTTGGAAATTAATCTGAAACAAGTTTACATCCCGATCCAGGTGCTGTAGCTGTTATAGCAACTAAAATGGGTGCCTAATGCTAACAATTTAGTTACTTCATTATATATTATTATATAGCCCTAATGTACTTTAGTATTTATGGTTGACGTGTAAAAACAAACGACTGGTTTCTTAATTAGAGAAATGCATTATACATTAATTATGATTGAAAATTATTACTGAACTGTAACAAAGACTCACTAAAAACCAAACATAACCTGATGTTTGCACCATGATGGAAATGAACTCGATCAGTTCTGCTCCCTGGTCCTTTAATAAAAATCATCCTGAAGCAAACAGAGGGAATTAATGTCAGATTTCAATACCTGGATGTAAGAGATTTAAAAAGAAAATCAGTTTTACTCTCAAGATTAACACAAAAATCCACTGTACATCATCAGACTCTAAAAGATATATATGTATATATTTATATTGTAACCTCTGTTCATGATTTACATCCAAAAATAAAATAAAATCTTCAGTTTTTTAAAGCGATCAGTAGAAATGTCAGAGGCTGGTGTGTCTTCCAGCGTTTGTTCACATGTAAAGAACAGAGCAGGAACAGAACCGAGTTCTGCTCGTCTTCACCACAGTGTCCATGACTACACCTCAGTTTTTATCCTAACATCACAGCAGCATCGACTCCTGCATGGCAAAAGCCTCTGGTGCTTGCCTGTAGTGTGGTCCACCAAACAGCTGGGGGTGCTGCTGCCGCTGCTCCTGGAACTGTGTCCTGTAGTGAGGCAGAACGTCTGGGTTGGGGGGGAAGGTGAACTCGTGAACCGGAGACATTTGGGCTTGCTGGAAGCTAGGCGAACGATGCATCCCACCGGGGGACTGAGGAGGGCGCTCATCGTCTAGCTCCCACTGGAAGCCGTCTACGATTGGCTGAGGCCTGCTTCCTGGCATGAACTGGGGGTTTCCCTCGAATCTGTAGTCCAGGGAAGTTTGCATTTGTGTAGTTGACGTTAGTTGCTGCAGGTAGATGGGAGTGGAGCTGCTCTGAAGGTTTCGGGTGGACTCGGGCTGCCTGCGATAGGTGGCAAACGAGTTATTTTGTAGCGCCTTCTCAGGAGAAAGGTGGCTGGGCCGCCGCTGGGTGGTGGCATAGACTTGTTCCCTATACGACGTGCTGGAGGGGGAATTAAATCTGGGGTCTCTGTAAAGTTTGTCCTCCCCTTGGTGGTCCAGGCTTACGCTGTAGCCTGGGTGGAGGATGGGAACTTCGGTTGTAGTTCTTCCTGGAGATTGCTGCTGAGGTGGGGTGTTGTACCGACTCTGAGCCCCGGAGTAGCTGGCAGGTAACCCTGGGGGACTGTTGTGTAGAAACTGAGGAGGGAGGTGATGCTTAGTCATCCTGGGGCCTGTTGAGGCCGAGACGACGTTGCTGGCCTGGTGTGGTGCTGGTACGGTAAAGGGAGTCTCATTATGAGCGGCCCTCATTCTGAATGGAGGCTTCTCAAGCTCCAGAATCTCAAAATCCTGCTCTGGCAGTCCTGGTACGTTGTCATACTGGGAGGCATTGGAGCCCCGATCAGAGCCAGGAATGAACCCTTTGGGCCGGGGTCGTCGTTGACCATAAAGGCCGTCAATGGGGCTGGACGGAGCCGGTGATGCCCCTCGGCTCTGCTGCGTCTCTCGCGCTGCGGCGGCTTTGGCCGCTTCCAGCTTCGTCTCGGAGGGTTTGACCCAACGGGGACCAATGATTTGACGAGAACTGGAGGCTGCGTTGGAGTTGTGGTTGGCGGTGGCGTGGTTCTGAGGACTGCGGCTGGGCGTTGGGGTGGGGGCTGATGACGGAGTGGTTCCTCTCTCTGGTGTGGTGGAGGTGGACTGCTTTGGTTGCTCGTTCAGAAGCTCATTGGATCTCCTGGAGTGGGGATCCCATTTCTCCGCCCTATGATGGCGGGACGGTTTCTCCAGTGAGTCTCTGTGTGCCTGGCTCGGGGGCCGACTGTCCTGCTGGCGTCCCGGTACCGGACTGGAGTCTCTCGGAGGCTCGGCTGGCTCCGTGTGGCTCTGACCGTTGCCCACGTGATTCATCTGCGGCACTGCGACCTCTGGAGGAAGCTGCCCCAACGGCTTCTTAGGAAACTCATCCTCATTAGCTGCAACATAAGAACAACAGATTCACATTATTCCTCCATCAGGAACCTGAATGAACAGTGATGGTTGAACACACTGCGTAGTGACGTCACAACAGGGTCATGAGTGCATGCAACAACACTGCCATCGAGGTAAAAATGAAGGAGCGTTACATTCAAGACGAGACTTAAAGAAATTCACAGCAGAAGACAAAAATAACATCAGAAATACGTTTTAATTTTCCATTTAGGGGATTCCACTTCGCTGAGTGGCCTCTGAAAGCCTTACTCCATTCATCAATCAGTAGCAACAGCGACCCACTTCACCAGGGTCGGTTCTGTACCACCAGCTCTTTATGAAAGTACTGCCTACACAAAATATTAAGATATGCTGATAAGAGCATGTTAGGATGCATTGATGAATCAGTTATTCAGGAAAGGAACTCAAGTTTCTCTCATTGAAGAGATTATTTATGCTCCCATGTTGTTCTGCTTCCACTAGGTTTCATTCATTAACCTAAAAGACTATTTAAACTGATCAAAGTTAAATAGTAAAGTACTTTATAACAGATGCACATTTTATTAATTTGTATGTATTTGAAATGCTGTACAGAATGTTTTTGGTGAAAATATGACATTAGTGTTAATTTCTTTTAGATCATTGTAAGCAGAATACAGAGAAGGCAAAGGGACTTGCATTGTGTTTTTGTAGATTTATAGAAAGAATACAAAAGATGCCAAGGAGATCTGGGTTGGGACAGAGAATGAGAGCTGTGAGACAGCAGTGAGGTGTGCTGTAGGAGTGAAAGAGCTGGGACTGCTTCAGGGATTGTTTCCTTTAGTGATGGATGGGCTGATGGGAGTCTGCATGGATTATGATGTTTGCAGATGATACTGAGATATGAACCGTGGCTGCAAGACAGAATGTGTGTAACTGAGACGGGCATAAGTGGAACAGTGACGTAAAGAAGGTCAAAGGTCCAGAGTAAAGCAGAGTCTGGAAAGAGGTGAAGAAATGAGTGCAAGCGTTGGGATGGGTGGAGAAAGTGTCAGGTGTGATGAAAGGTGTAGAAAACGGTCCAAAGACCATTGATGATTGGTTTAGAGCTGGAAGCAGGATAGAGGCTGCAGAGCTTGAGATGTTGAGGTTCTCTTTGGGAAAGACGAGGATGGATAGGATAAGGAATGATGAACAGCTCATGGCAGAGGGATGGGAGAAAAGTCAGAGGCCAGACTGAGATGTTGAGAGGAGAGATTATATCAGTAGAAGGTTTCTGAGAGGAACAAACAGATTTATGGGTGAAAGAGGAGTAAATGGAGACAGATGATGGACTGTAGCGACGCCTGCAGGGAAATGCTGGAAGAGAAGAAGAAGAATCTTCTTTTGATTGATTTGGGTAATTCAGTTAAGTTTGTTTGACTTAATTTAGCGGCGCATTTGGATGAATTGCGATGAAGTTTCCATCTGTCACACTCACCAGAGTTACTGCCCTAAATGGCAACAGAAGAAGAAATGACAAGCAAACACTTCACACTCAAGTAAATGTAACAAATTTAAACTTTGCAACAGATTGTAATGATTTTATAGCAACACAGTAGTGTCTTAGACGGCTGTTTAATATTATTCTTAGACTGTTTAACCAGCAGTGTGAAGTTTTAGTTTTTACCCAACTAAAATTAAAGGGACTGTGTTAAAAGATAATTAAATTCATTAGGAGCTAATTCTTTATTATTCATACTTTATTCAGAACCAGGCAGAACAATTAGGGATTAAAAAGTTAATTGAATTAATCACCAACTAATTCAGTAATCAATTAATCATTAACTGGAGTCTACAGACAAAAAAGGTCTTTGCTTAAAAAAAAAAAAAAAAAAAAAAGAAAACTGCTTTTAAAAAAAAATTTTTTTTTTACCCAAAACCCCCCAAATGCATTTT